GAGCATAGTAAATGTTTGGATTGTCCCTTCCAGCATCGTTAATGATGTCATCACCCCCATTCCTATTGCGAATTGGTCAATATCTAATTTCGATGAGTGCAATTGGAATAATAAAGCCCTACATGCTTTATTTATGGTAGTGTTCCCTGACGAATTTAGGCAAGTATCTATGTGTGAGTTTGCGAAAGAGGTTTGTAATATTTTATAGATCACACATCAGAGAACTTAATCCGTTAAGAACTCCAAGTTACAGATGTTGACCACTAGATTTGAACAGATTATGATGAAGGATGATGAAAAATTCGATGACCTCTATGCGAGCTTAAATGACACAGTTAATTCTAGCTTTACCTAGGTAGGTGAGAGAATTTCTGAGCCTAAGATAGTTAGAAAAATCCTTAGATCCTTACACGAGAGATTCAGGCCTAAAATTACAACTATAGAGGAGAGCAAGGACATAGATGCAATTAAAGTGAAGAGTCGGTTGGATCTTTCCGAACTTATGAACTAACTTTAGCTAAACCTACAAAAGATAAGTCTTTGGCCTCGAACACTATTAGGGATAACTATAATGAGTCTTCAGATTCAGAGTCATCTAATGATAAGGATGATGTGAACTTGCGTAGTAGCGATGGCTACGAAACCTACAAAATTAATCCCGATTTGTGGATTTAAATCAAGAACAATGAACCAAGCAACCCAAACAAGACAACGATGTGGGTACCTCTTGATTACACGTTTCATAATTTGCACCCGGTGTTGAATGCCACAAGATTTTCACCTTGATAAGTTCAAGTTTGTTCAAAGAAGAACAAAGGCTTGGAAAGCAAGAATTTGCCTCTCTTTAATTTCTCTCGAAATAATGTTAAAGTTGTTATAATGAATGAATGAAAAACATATTTATACTAACCCTAGAAACATAGTAAAAATGTAAAATATTAATTGAAGATTACCAAAATTTGACCAAAAATAGAATTCTAACAAAAAATAAGGAAATTCACGAAAAGGAAAATTTTTGGCATCACTTTATACCATACGACCACATGGTACATTTTATTGTGATCGCACAAGTCATTCAGGTTGCGCTCTTTTGGCCTCGATATACCACCATGCGATCGCATGGTGGTTAACACTGTGCAATCGCACAATTCAACCCTTGGGCTCCAACTTCGTCCACGTGCATTGAGTTGATCCAATTGTTTTCAACCTTCGACCCCAACATGGAACTTGCCTCATTTCGTGACATGATCAACGTCTCATCAATTGTTGATTGACCTAATAATCCCATCGCTTGATTTGCCCATTTTACCCTTGATCGCATCATCGGTTTACCTTCGATAATCAATGAATCTCGTCCTAGGCTCGTCTTCGTTGGGCTTAGTTCTTGGATCACATCTTCCCCTCCATCTTCAAAAGGATTCGTCCTCGAATCTGAACCTGTATCAAAGAGAGAGAGAGATCAGATACAGTAAAAGTTGTTGAAACATTATACTTACCTGGGAGATCCAATTTGTAGGTGTTGTCATTGATCTTCTCAACAAATTGAAATGGTTCATCTCCCCGTCATTGCAACTTTGATTTTCTTTGATCTAGAAAGTCCTCATTTCTGAAATATACCCAAACCCAATTACTTGGTTCTAAGGTCACGCTCTTCTGCATTTTCACAAAAACTCCAATGGAGATAGATTACACGGAGAAAGTTCTTTATGCTTCGGCTATGAGGAGCTACATGTATGCTATGCTTTACTCTTGACCCGATATTTGTTATGCTGTAGATATTATTAGTCATTATCAATTTAATTTGGGACAAGGACATTGAATAACGGTGAAGCATATACTCAATTGTCTTAGGAGAACGATAGATTATATGTTTATCTATTCAGGACATGGTCTGAAACCTATTGGATATACTGATTTTGATTTTCAATCTGAACGTGACTCTAAAAAGTCTATGTCGGGTATAGTATTTACACGAGGAGGTGAAATCATGGTATGAAGAAATATCAAGCAATATTTTATTGTTTATTCCATCATGAAGGTAGAATATGTAATCGCTTATAAAGCTACTAAAGAAGCTATGTGATTCAAGAAGTTTCTTTTGGACCTTGACGTGGTACCTTTGGTACCAATGCTAAAGAACCAACGAGTCATCAGTTTTGCAAACACATTGAGAAAAAATATCACCTTATTAGAGAAATTGTTCATCGAGGAGATGTAATGATTAGAAAAATTGCATCAACAGATAATCTTGCAGATTCGTTTACCAAGAGCTTACCAGCTAAGGTTTTTTATGACATCTTGAGAGGATGTGTATTCTTGATATGTCACATATATTCGAAATGAAAAGTGGGAGATTGTTAGTTTGATGCCCTTACAGTAGTATTTTGTAAAACGACATTATGAATTAATACTCTATCATTCGCCTTTTATAATTTGAAACAATTATCTTTGGTTCAATGATTATATAGGATGTCACAAATTGTATACTCGATGACTTGAATATAGTGAGACACAATTTTTGACATGATCAAAATATATCGTTCAGAATCAGTACATAAAGTTGGATAACTTTATGATGATAAGATTGAATTGTTTTTATTGAGATTTGTCTAAATTTGGAAATACGAATAATAATGTGTTTGATACACATTTTACGGGACTACATAGATGACTTATTTGTGGCCGTTCGAAATAAGATTCTACTCTATTATCAAACAAGTTACCTAAATCCTGAGCGAGTAATGTACATTTGATTACTAGTTCAAGTTCTTTAAAGTATGAATGAGTGAAATTTTAATTAGAAGATTGGTCTCGAAACTTTGGGAAGCGGGGCGAAATAGGTAGAGATAATATACTTGCAATAATGGAATCCGATAATCATTACGATGAGATGATCGTCACTTTGAAGTATTTATGTAGCCATTTGAAGCTGAGTTCAGTAGTTTGATGATGGGATCGTTGGACTTTATGTTGTAATTAATTCACAATGGATCATCCTTATGGAAATGGGACTTGGACGGCGATATATGTTGAAAGGGCAAATGGTCCCATATTGTTGATTTCAACATATTGACGTTCAAACGGGATTGACTTGTGGAATCATAATCAAAGGATATTGTTATGGGATCATAAATTGCTTTCATAATTATCACTCTACTCTAGAGTGCAATATCAACTTTTTGGTAGAATGAGTCAAAAGTAATAGATATATCTTAATTGGTAAAAAATTGACCCAATTAGAAACATCTATTGAAGCTTGGGTCTTGTAAGTTTGATTGGGTCCCTCTTTTAGCTTTAATAAATGTGTGTGATTTAATTGACCTACTACAATAAATTTTAAGAAAAATTGTGCAATTATGAAACCCTAATTGAATATTATAAATATGCCCATTGTGGACACATTTCTCAAAATTTTAGGGTTAGTCACACTTTTTCATATTTCCCAAAAGGCACCTAAAAGAGATCAATTAAGAAGATTTAAAGTAGGCTATTAAAAGTTCCTTCAAGGTTATCATGTCACCCTTATGTGTGTAACGATTTAAAAACAAAGTCTAATGGCCTCAAGGTACATATATATATATACACACCAAAATTTTTATTTGTTACACCACATTTTAATTGCATTATGGTCAACAATCTTTATTCATTGTAGTAATTTATATTTTCTTAACCTTTTCCTTGAATTTTTATCTTCAACATTTTATTAATTATTACTTTTTGTCGTCAATGATGATTTATATAGGGGAAATTATTTTTTCGTACTTTCTTAATTTAATTTTAAAAATATGATAGAAAAATAAGCTTTTTTACGCTGCTTCAAGGGACTTTCGGACATAAAAAGATATATCAAATACAAAATATGTATTAACTAATGAAAGTTTTGAAAACATATATATATATATATATATATATATATATATATATATATATATATATAGTTTTTATTTCTCAATATTTGCTCATTATGATATTTATGTCCCTAACGATTTTTTATTGCTTTCTTATAATCAAAATTTTCATTAATTAACATATCTTGTATTGATAACAGCTTCTATCCAAGAGGTCCATTGAAATAACGTATACAACTTATTTTTCATCATACTTAAAAAATTAAATAAAAATGAGTGAAAAATATTTTTCCCTTATTTCAAAGCATGGAAACAAAATATTTTGACATAAATTATTACCAACGATGAGATATACTAATTAATAGAAGGTTGAAAGTAAATATACGATGAAAAAATTAAGAAAAAATTACTATAACGAGTAAAAATTAAGGAGTTTAACTGCAATTAATATGTCGTGTAATAAAATAAAAATTGTAGTGCAAATACAATCATCGTATAAAAATTGTAGATAAAAATAGTTGTTCCATTATAAAATTAAGGAAAAACGATCTTTTAAATTCAAAAGCTCAAGCAAACTTGAAAGTTCAAAATAATCAATTGGAGAAGAAGATCCATTAGAGAAATTAGATAATTATGTTGATTCTCAAGGCTTTAGATTTAAGAGAGAGATTTAAAAAAAAAGGCAGAAAGCAAGAGAGAAATCGGAGTGTTGGACTTCTTCCAAATTACTTTGATGAGAGAGAGATTGATTATTTGAGTTTTTTTTTTTGTTTTTTTTGTGATTTTTTATTTTCTGATGAGAAATTAGATTTTTTTTTTCTGTGTTTTGAGTTTTCAAAAGCACTTGAAGAAACAATATGTTTTAAATTTTATGTTATAAATTTAATTTTGTTTTTAAAAATATATTCTCAAATATATTGAAACTAAACAAATTTTGAGAATTTTACATGAAGAGAAATGGTGGAAAAAAAGATGGATTAATCTATTTGTACCAAATAGTTTACCTAATGGTTTATCGAGACAGCCGCCCCTCCAATAGGGAGCAGCCAACAATTCGATAAATCATTTGGTACTTGTAGCATCTTTCGAAAAAGATTAACGCATGTGGAGATGGTTTAGGAACTCATACGACACCGTATTGCTTGCAGGTCACCAGTCCTCATTCTCAACTAAAAAAGAGTCCTCTTTGCTTAACACACAAAAAAGTATCCGTCTTCACACGAAAAATTCCCACCGGAGCGCTTCAATGGATAACCGAAACGTCGTCGTCTGTGACAATGGCACTGGGGTAATTATTCTCATCTTCTACATTTCACTCCTTTGATCGATCCACCCAGTAAAAGCAAGACCAAAATAATATACTACTAGTCGGAGTTCATCGGAATTTTCTATATTTTCAAATTGATATCTAATGTGTGTTTATGAATTGTTAAATACTTTGAAATTTTGTTTGATATGGATTCAGTATGTTAAGTGTGGTTTCGCGGGTGAGAATTTCCCCACATCGGTATTCCCGTGCGTAGTTGGAAGGCCAATGCTGCGATACGAAGAATCTCTTATGGAACAGGATCTCAAGGTCGGGTTTTTTCCTCCTCGTGCATTTGTCTTTGTTTATACGTTTGTTTCTTTATTTATGAAAAATCACTTCAGTGTTTAGATCGCACATATGATACATGTGAGTGTATAATGGTGAAGTTAAATTCAACTTGCCACTACTCTTATATTGGAAAACCCATTATGTTCTTCTTCGTTTTGGAACAATTTAAAATCATTAGATAGTTCATCAAGTATTGAGAATTTTATAAGTATAATCAAACCACCACATGGGTGAGAATTTTCTTAAAATCAGAACCTAAGGACAAAGGAGGAGACGAGGCCAAGACTTTCAAAATAATAAACAACAATAAAAGAGACACCACACTTAATTGAGATTGATTTGGAACCAAATTAACCTAATTAAAATCAACCAGGAACCAACACAAAAGACTAAAGACGAGCAAAATGGCCTGAGGCCTCAAAAGACAATGAGCAAAAGGATAAGACAAAATGCCTCATGAGCCAAACTAGCATCCTCTTGATTTACTTGTAGTCACCATTCGATGTTTGGGCTTCAGTTGTGCAATTAGTTTAAAATCATTATGATCGGCATGGAGAGAGGCGGAGTCAACAATAAAATCCTCTACAAAGAGCGATGACATGAGTCAATGCTGGGATGATAGATTCTCAAAATCCTTTTTATTATCACAACTACAGAATTGACATCTTTTCCCTATATTTTCTTCCAATTAGTACCCAGCAAGACCCATAATTGCAATATCTTTTTCAACAATAGTTTTCCCTTATCCCTAGACATAGAAGCAAACAAATCCATGTTGTCTAAAGAAGGGGAGGAGGAGCTTAGGCATTCGAGTTCATATGGATAAGGTGAAGAGAACACTGGGGCAAGTATACTGATGTTGATTGTTGCTTGGGTTATGTTATGTTTTTTCTTCAGGACATTGTTGTTGGAGATACTTGTTTAAAGTACCGGCATCAATTGGATATATCTTATCCTGTCAACAATGGTATTGTGCAAAATTGGGATGATATGGAACATGTTTGGGACCATGCTTTTTATAATGAACTAAAGGTAATCTTTTGATAGCTTAACGTGTCAGTAAATGTTTTGAGCTTTATCTTTTAAGTAATCTTCAGCATGTGTTATCTGATGTAGTTGTATTCTCATCATCTTATACCCCCCCCTTTTGAAGGTTGATCCAAAAGAATGTAATATTTTGTTAACCGATCCACCTCTAAATCCATCTAAAAACCGTGAAAAGATGGTTAGTCTTCTCCTTCTAAAGTCAGGTTTTTAAAATTTTTCTTGATTCAGATTTTTTGTTCTTGAAGACTATGTGATTTACACGTTTAATATTTCTATGATACAGGTTGAGACTATGTTTGAGAAATACAACTTTGCTGGTGTATTCATCCAAATTCAAGCTGTTCTAACATTGTATGCTCAAGGTGCTTACATCTAAGTAGTTCGTAGGAGCATGTGATACTGTTTATTTGTTTGCTTGAAATTACAACAAATTTATTAATTGCTGAATCAGGATCATAAATATACTTTGCTTTTTGACATGTGTTAACAAGCCTCTTGGAAGTCATGTTTAATATATGGCTAATTTTTTATTCGTTGTTATCTAAAAATTACTCAGGTTTACTGACGGGACTAGTCATTGATTCTGGTGATGGGGTCACTCACGTGGTAAAATTTTTAATATAACATATCTATTCTGTGTTTTAGGGTATGTTGCTACTTTGTTACTTTTATCACATTCCTGGAATACATATATATCTTGTTTATTTGCTTAAATGTTCTGGAAAATAATAAAGACACTCAAACTTGACAACTGAATGCGAAATACGAATATGAGGCAATTTTGCAAAGTGTGATTATAATGTCATTGTTGTGTGTGTGTGTAAAGCATTCATTGGTTTTGTGAAATGAAAACTAGTGTTCAGTTTCTTCATGTATCCATTAAGGGAATGTTTCTATGTAATCTAGCATTGATATATAATTCAAAGTTAATATAAAAAAAGCATATAAATCAGTCTCAAAATATAATTTTAGTCTCTCACTAATCAGTGTACTGGAAAAATAATAAGTGTGATGCAATATCTTTCACATTGATATGATGACACCTAAACTAATCCACAAGCGATAAAGGGTAGTGCAGATCTATAATGTTGGTTTGGTATCATTGGTGTTAGCAAATTTTCATCATTTGATTTAAGTGGTTAGTTAAGTCTCTAACCCAGAAAAGTTGATTAATTTTGGAGTAGGATTAGTGATTGTAACTCTGTGGTTTCTCCAGGTTCCAGTAGTCGATGGATACTCATTTCCTCATCTTACTAAAAGAATGAATGTAGCTGGACGCCACATAACATCATATCTTGTTGATTTGCTTCTTAGAAGGGGGTGAGTATTCTTAGAATTCAAAAATCAGTAAACTGCAGTATCCTTGTTGGTTGTCAAATGATTCTTCGAAATTAATGGATACCACTTTGTCTCTGAAGGTACGCGATGAATAGAACTGCTGACTTTGAGACTGTTAGGGATATCAAAGAGAAGCTCTGCTACATAAGGTGAATTGGTCTTCATATTTTCGTGGGCTTGTAACTTAACATAAATGTTTTAATGAATTGTCTAGTTTGCTGCAGTTATGATTACAAAAGAGAATATCAACTGGGACTTGAGACTACTATCCTCGTAAAGAATTACACAGTAAGTTATCGTTGCTCCGATGACCCAAGAAATTTGAAATTACGAAGTTTAAGAATCCTTTGTCTTTATGCATATCCATACACTCATTTGACATGCATCTTATTTCATATTTGAATAGCGATAAATTTCTTAGAATTTTACTGAAGTAGTGTTGATCAAGAAAGACCGTTTCGAATTTGATATCATAATCTTAGTAGTTTTCATTTCTACTCAACTTTTCTATGAGCACGTTACCCAATAATTTCATGATGTGTTTGATTGTGTTTTTTAATGAAATAAATATATTAGAATAACATGGATTAGAGGAGAGTATAATTGGGTTTATTTTATTACCATATTTGTATCTATTTCCATACATGTACTTTTGATTTCACTATATAATGAAAGTGAAGGAGACGAAGGTATCTATCTTATTCCCTCTCGTGTTTATATCAATCTGTCTCAACATGGTATTAGAGCAAGGTTCCTAGGGTTTGAGTCTGCATCTCTGTCTTCTCTACATCTACCGTTTGACCAAATTTGAAGCATGCATCTTCGTCGCTATGTCTACATCTGCATCACCTGTTTCACATTTGCTGCCGGGTTTGGAGTGTGTCGTGTCTTCGTCTATTATCTGGTATTTCTTGTGTGGGATGTGGTTCTGTGGTGATTTCCCCATTAGCAGTCAGTGAAGTCGGAAGCTGAGAAAATTCGTCGTGGCTGTTGCGACAAGGAGGGAGAGAAAACAAATCTGGGTTGAGGTTTGATTTGGGCCAATTTTTTTTATTTCAACCACTATTGGGCCATTATTTTAAGCTGGTCACTTGGGCTTCCTTAATTCCTATTGGTTTTACTAATATAACATTTCTATTGAGATGGGTTTAATTGGCTTTATTGTTGATGTTGGTCCATGTGCTCATTTAATTTTGGGCTTGTTGATGTTGGTTTAATTCCTGTTGGTTTTATTGTTGGATTGGTTTGTAGATAGTATCACGTCAACCAAGATAGAAATGTTTAATCTGACGGGACCTATGACACCTAAAAAGTTGAATGAAAGAAATTACACTTACTGAACTAAGTGTGTCGAGGTCTTTTTGCAGGGTAAGGGTTTATTTTACCACTTGATTTTGGACAAGCCGTGGACCAAGTCCTCAAAAGGTGATTCTGCAAAAGTTGATTCTGCTCTCAGTGATTAATGGGATCAAGACGATAATACAATAATTGGACTTATGATCAGTAGCATTGAACCTCATATTAGGTTTTCATTCCTCTACGTGTCTACGGTGAAGCAAAATTATGAGCATCTCAAACATATACATTCTTGAATTTGAAATGTTATTCGAATTTATGAGGTGTAAACAATACTTTGGACTTGAGAAAGGCTCTTCCAACCTCATTGAATATTATAATAAGCTTTTCGCTATGTGTCGTGGGAAGAATGCCATCCTTGTGGTAGTGGATAGGCTGTCCAAGTATGCGATTTCATTGGAGTGAGCCATCCCTTTACAGCTAAGAAACTAGCAGAAGTATAAGTTGACAATGGGGCTCGCCTCCATTGTATTCCTCGCACCATTCTTAGTGACCTTGATGCTTTATTTACTAGTAATTTCTGGCAAGAATTCTTTAAGCTGCAAGGAACACAGCTCAAGATGTCTTCTACATATCACCCGAAAACTGATAGACAAACCGAAGTGGTGAACAGGAGCCTTTAGCAATACCTTCGCTGCTTGTCCAGTGAAGCAACAAAGCAGTGGAGTCGTGATCTTCCTTGGGCGGAATTTTGTTATAATACCACATTCCATCGTCATATCGGGCTCATCCCATTCCAAACTTTGTATGGGAGACCACCACCAATCATAACCAGATATTTACCGAGAAGCGTAGCAGTGCAAGAGGTAGAAAGAGAGTTATGCAATCGGGACGAGCTGCTCAAGCAACTAAAGCAGAATTTAGAAAGGGCCAGAAATTGAATGGAGCTACAATCAGTGTTCCATATATTGTGTCTCAACAATCAGTGTTTAAAAGAGCTAATCAGAAGCTTGCTAGCAAGTACTTTGGACCTTATCGAGTCTTAGAAAAGATAGGTGCAGTGGCGCCTACAAGTTGAAGTTGCCAGAAAACTCGAAAGTTCATCCTGTGTTCCATATATTGTGCCTCAAGAAGCATATAGGAGAAGGGGAAATTACACAAAGCATGGCCCTACCAGTTTCAGAGGAAGGATCTTTGGTGCTGGAACCCGTTGCTGTCAAATACTCCAGTTGGGTGAAGCAGGGGAGCAGATGGGGAGCGGAAGTATTAATCCAATGGAAGTACTTGCCTGAGGAAGAAGCTACTTGGGAATCTACTAGGCTGATGGAGTTCGACCTTAAGGGCAAGGTTGAAGTCCCAACGGCGGCAGACGTTAGACTCCAAAGAAACAGGAAGGCCAATCCAAAGTATTCGGTTGTGTTGACCGCAGAACAAAGAGGACCAATTCAGAGGGCGAATGGCAGGGGAACTGGAGCTAATTAAAGGATGTCCCCCACTAAGTGCTTGCATTTAACGCAGAGTGGAGTTATGTTTGAGTTTATTTAGGGAGTAATCGTTGGTTGAGTTTCTATAAATAGGTCTTTAGGCAGTAGAGTAGGGTAGCTTTTGAATTAATTGTAATTGTGGTTTGCTCCAGCCCTAATTGGAAAATTTCTATTGCAACTCGGTACTTTCTTCTTGAGTTATTGCAGAGTCGTTTTCAACAAGTTCACACCTTATTTCTCTAATTATAAATGTCTTCTGACTCGAATCAAGATCCCGTTCGCTTACCTGTCCCTTATCTACCAGTTGGTATTTCTCCAGAACTAAACTCGCCTTTGCCTAATTCACCCGAGTTGTCCTCCTCCCATAAGGAACCATCTCCTCCTTTACAAGTTGATACTTGACGATCTAAGCCATCAACACTTGTGACTCCATTCGTTACCTTGCCACCTACAGATCCTACATCTATCATCTATCCTGGTCCCGAGTCATTGCCCATTGCTCTTTGTAAAGGTAAACGTAATTGTATAACTAAACATCTTCTTAGTCACTATGTCAAATTTTGAATCGTTGTTACCTTCGTTTTCCTATTTCACATCCCACGTTTCTAGTGTTTTTGTTACTAAGACAGTGATAGAAGCTTTATCTGATCTTGGGTTGCGATAGGCTAAGGAACTGGAAGTGGAAGCTTGCTCAAGAATAGGACTTGGGATCTCATTCCTTCACTACTTGGAATACATCCTGTTGGTAACGGATGGGTCTTTGTTCCGAAATTTAATCCTGTCTGGATGTTGATTGCTTGAAGGCCCGATTGGTTGCTAAAAATATACTCAGACCTATGATATTGATTATGATGAAACATTCTCTCCAGTTGTTAAGATCTCTTCTATTCATGTTTTGAAATATATTGCTGCCGAAGCAATCAGGGAGAGCACTAGAACTATGTTTGTAGATTAAAAAAGCTTTATATGGGCTAAAGCAATCACCGAGATCATGTTTTCGAATGTTTTCTGAGGTTGTTCTGGAATTTGGTCTTCAAGGCTGTCAGACAGATTATTTGGTATTTCATCTACATACTGATACAAGTTATATTATCCTTGTAATTTATGTAGATATTATAATCACTAACTACAAATAGGATTTCTAAAAAAACGTTTTCAAACTAAAGATCTAGGCAAGCTCTGATATTTCTTGGGCATTGAAGTTGCTAGGTTACGGGCTGGCATTTACTTGTTATAGAGAAAATATGTACTTGACCTGTTAGATGAGAGTTTTTTTGTAACTTGTCCAGTTGATACTTCCATGGATTCTAATGTGAAATTTTTTAAGGATAAAGGAGAATTGTTTGGATAACCAAGAAAATATTATCGTTTGACTGAAAACTTGAATTATCTTTCCATCGCATGACCAGATATTCCTATGCAATTTGGGCGTCATTAGTCAATTCTTGAATGCTCCTCAGGTGTCTTATTGGGAAGTTGTGATGTGTATTCTTCAGTATTTGAAAAATGCTCTAGACCTTGGATTACTATATTATCAGAATAGAAGGGTATACAAATGCAGATTGGGTAGGATCTCCGTCAGATAGATGATCCACTACAGGTACTTTTCTCGATGGTAATCTTGTTTTATGGAAAAGTAAGAAACAAATTATAGTAGTAAGGTCAAGTGCAGAAACAGAATATAGGACGATGACTCATACTACTAATGAGTTGACATGGTTGCAGCACTTTCTTCAAGAAATCGGTCTCTCACCTTCTACCCCCATTCTAATGTTTTGTGATAATTAAGATGCTCTACATATTATGGCCCTGTATGAGCCCCATTTTTACCTCATTAAAATGAAAAATATGACTGTTATCCATCATATCAAGCCACCATTTTTGAATTTCTATCTCTTGTGTGGGACTTATAACGGCTCTATTTTTCATTCTCATTCTACAAATAATGTGGCTCAAACGGGCTCTATATCTAATCCAGTCTTCATGAAAGAACCAAGTACATTGAAGTTGATTGTCACTTTGTTCGAGACAAAATGATGAATGACGATATATATACACCATTTATGAAGACAGGAGATTAACTTATTGATATGTTTACAAAGTCGGTGAACGGAAATTGATTGAGGTTTCTTTGTTCCAAATTGGGTTTATATGATATACATGTTCTAGTTTGAGGGGGAGTGTTGAGGAAATAAATATATTAGAATAACATAGATTAGGGGAGAGTATAATTGGGTTTATTTTGTTTCCATATTTATATCTATTTCCATATGTGTATTTTTTATTTCACTATATAATGAAAGTGAAGGAGATGAAGATACATCTATCTTATTCTCTCCCTTGTTTATACCAACCTTTGTCTCAACATTATTTTTATAATTGGGGATGTTATAATTAACAGCTGCCAGATGGAAGGGTCATTAAAGTTGGCACAGAGCGGTTTCAAGCACCTGAAGCTCTTTTTACTCCGGTAAGAATATACCTGCCATTTACCATATATATACCTTGTAAGGTCAAAGCATGTTTTTGTTAAATGTTGAAATTGGGTTATATGTCCTGTCTACTATTTCTTTATGTGATATTTTGGATAAATGTGGCCATATCATACCACTGATTCTTGTGGTTTAATATATTTGCTGCATTGCTCAGTACAGTAATGTGTGTCCGATATTGCCTTTTTTAAAGCTGCAAATTGGTGGCATGAGTAATTAAGACAAAAGCTTAACATGTTTAGTATTTTGCTGCCTTGCTTAGGACAGTAAGGTGTGTAATTTAATATTGCCTCTTTAAAACTGCGAATTGGTGGTATGAGTAATTAAGAGTTAAGACTAAAGCTTAAGTTCATGAAAAATAGATGGCAGATTCCGATCATGTTCTCCAATTATAGCTGACCTGTAATATATATTTTTTAATTGTGATTAGCTCCATGGCATCAATGTATTCAAGTATTGGTTTACACTGCCGTAAAACCTTTATCATGGATTAAAAATAAACTCTAGATGGTATATTTTTTATAGGAACTCATAGACGTTGAAGGAGATGGGATGGCTGACATGGTATTTCGTTGCATTCAGGAAATGGATATCGACAATCGAATGATGGTATTAAATTTTTTTTAACTGAAACATCTAATATATTGCGTTGTTTAATTTCTCATGCAATATTGATCCCTTGTCTTGCAGCTCTACCAACATATCGTTTTGAGTGGAGGAAGCACGATGTATCCTGGATTACCTAGTCGGTAAACCATGAAATTCCTCTTTACTTCATATAAAGCTACATCTTTTTGTCTGTGTTCTGTAATTATGATCCCAATCCTTAAATATTTCTCATGTACCTCTTTTTATTTTCTTGACCAAAGAACCTATATTTAATGGACCACGTATCTGTCTTGGGATGAATTATTAAGTCATGTGTGTGTGTGTGTGCGTGCGCGCACGCCATGTATAATTCCAGTGATTTGAGGGGTGACTAGTTATAAATAAGGTATGATCTGCATAAAGTCTAGGAATGTGATCTGCCAATGACCATTTCGGATAAAATTTTATTTATGTTAGTAAAAATTTGTTCCTGAAATGCATAATATATTTTTGGATAACTAAATGATGTTTTAGCTATTTTATTTACTTTGTTATATAGTATAGCTAATTCATGGGGCACCACATATCGGTTGGCATGAGAATTCTCTTGGCTTTGTGATTCTAATGCTTGCTGAGCTCTGTATATTGTCATGGGCATGTCAAGTAGATAACTCATGTTTTTGCATCTGTGAAACTTTTCCTTTTCTTCAGCCTAGAGAAAGAAATTTTGGATCGCTATCTTGAAGTTGTTTTGAAGGGAAACAGAGATGGGTTGAAGGTAAATTTACCTCAACTTCATTATTTATATGCACCTTGAAAATTTGGACCTCTATCCTGTGGGCATCTTCTATTTGCAATCTCCTCATTCTTTTATCTTCCTCTTTTCACCAAGTGAATGAAGTCTTCTTTTGTCGTTCCTAAAACAGAAACTACGTCTGAGGATAGAGGATCCACCACGAAGAAAGCATATGGTGTATCTTGGAGGTGCAGTTCTTGCAGGAATCATGAAGGTTGGGTTCATGCTCTCTCTCAACTCTCCCTTCCCTGACACAACATCATTCATGTGTGCACAACGCTTAAAACTGTTTCTTTTAACAAGTTAACATCGGTTTCTTAGTACTCAAATAAAGTCCACAATGATCTTCTTGGCGCTTTTTGAAGATGGACATATGTAGCAATATCTACTGCATGGAAATAATTTTTGTTTCCTAAGTGTTTGGATGTTAAACTTTTTTAAGCGCAGTCAAACATACTAATAGTTTCCTACTCACGTGATTGTAAAAATCGAGATCATTTAACAATATTGCAGGATGCACCTGAATTCTGGATTAGCAGGCAAGATTATTTGGAAGAGGGAGTTGCTTGTTTAAGCAAATGTGGCCAGGCGTAAACTTTATCATTTGTTAGATTTTATCGCCACTTCATTTCCTCCCTAACAAAAGCATAAGAAGATGAACAACTCCATGTATCATTGACAGAAGTTGAGTTGCCATTGAAGAGTAGCTAGGTAATGAGCCAGTGAAATGAACGAGGAAGCATTTGCAGTGATGTAGCTTGTAATTGATGTATTTTTTTATATTAATTGAAAATGAAAGGTTTTTTTCCTTTTTTTTTTTTCCTCATTGGAGTAATATTTAGTTTTACCGTTGTTTATTCGACAGTAAAATAGAGCTTGTGATCCATATCATATGCTACGTGTGACACGTGTAACAGTTCAAACACTTATTAATGTTTTTACAAGTATATGCATTCCATTATCAAACTCAAATAAATGCACAACTTCACCTTTGATTTTATTTCTTTAATGATTATCATGTCATGTTAAATTACATGAATACCAAACTGTACATTGTATGTCTCCCTCCATGGGCTTACCACATCATCATCACATAATGGACGTTTTTGTTTCATATAGTGTCTCGTTACACCAAGCATGACAATCGACTCTTTCGATACTAAATGTACACTATTCCACATAACGTGATGTTCATAGAATGTGTAACATTTCAAACAAGCGTCATACTATGCTATATTACAACTACTGGATGCCCAAAACAAGCGATCCATTTCAAACGACAACGATGTAGTGATCTCCTATAAACCTATATGTATTGATTTGTACTACAATATGGAATAATATGCAACGTATCATCAGATGTATACCTCAATCACCACTCCAATTACTTAAACCTGTTCTGTGTTGTAGTGCATTGTAGTACATGCTTTATTTTGTTGATTATCCTATTTTATGTCTTATATGCACTTTATTTTTCAAATTCGACAAATCAAAGATTTGTACGGTGAAGCAAAATTATGAGCATCTCAAACATATACATTCTTGAATTTGAAATGTTATTCGAATTTATGAGGTGTAAACAATACTTTGGACTTGAGAAAGGCTCTTCCAACCTCATTGAATATTATAATAAGCTTTTCGCTATGTGTCGTGGGAAGAATGCCATCCTTGTGGTAGTGGATAGGCTGTCCAAGTATGCGATTTCATTGGAGTGAGCCATCCCTTTACAGCTAAGAAACTAGCAGAAGTATAAGTTGACAATGGGGCTCGCCTCCATTGTATTCCTCGCACCATTCTTAGTGACCTTGATGCTTTATTTACTAGTAATTTCTGGCAAGAATTCTTTAAGCTGCAAGGAACACAGCTCAAGATGTCTTCTACATATCACCCGAAAACTGACAGACAAACCGAAGTGGTGAACAGGAGCCTTTAGCAATACCTTCGCTGCTTGTCCAGTGAAGCAACAAAGCAGTGGAGTCGTGATCTTCCTTGGGCGGAATTTTGTTATAATACCACATTCCATCGTCATATCGGGCTCATCCCATTCCAAACTTTGTATGGGAGACCACCACCAATCATAACCAGATATTTACCGAGAAGCGTAGCAGTGCAAGAGGTAGAAAGAGAGTTATGCAATCGGGACGAGCTGCTCAAGCAACTAAAGCAGAATTTAGAAAGGGCCAGAAATTGAATGGAGCTACAATCAGTGTTCCATATATTGTGTCTCAACAATCAGTGTTTAAAAGAGCTAATCAGAAGCTTGCTAGCAAGTACTTTGGACCTTATCGAGTCTTAGAAAAGATAGGTGCAGTGGCGCCTACAAGTTGAAGTTGCCAGAAAACTCGAAAGTTCATCCTGTGTTCCATATATTGTGCCTCAAGAAGCATATAGGAGAAGGGGAAATTACACAAAGCATGGCCCTACCAGTTTCAGAGGAAGGATCTTTGGTGCTAGAACCCGTTGCTGTCAAATACTCCAGTTGGGTGAAGCAGGGGAGCAGATGGGGAGCGGAAGTATTAATCCAATGGAAGTACTTGCCTGAGGAAGAAGCTACTTGGGAATCTACTAGGCTGATGGAGTTCGACCTTAAGGGCAAGGTTGAAGTCCCAACGGCGGCAGACGTTAGACTCCAAAGAAACAGGAAGGCCAATCCAAAGTATTCGGTTGTGTTGACCGCAGAACAAAGAGGACCAATTCAGAGGGCGAATGGCAGGGGAACTGGAGCTAATTAAAGGATGTCCCCCACTAAGTGCTTGCATTTAACGCAGAGTGGAGTTATGTTTGAGTTTATTTAGGGAGTAATCGTTGGTTGAGTTTCTATAAATAGGTCTTTAGGCAGTAGAGTAGGGTAGCTTTTGAATTAATTGTAATTGTGGTTTGCTCCAGCCCTAATTGGAAAATTTCTATTGCAACTCGGTACTTTCTTCTTGAGTTATTGCAGAGTCGTTTTCAACAAGTTCACACCTTATTTCTCTAATTATAAATGTCTTCTGACTCGAATCAAGATCCCGTTCGCTTACCTGTCCCTTATCTACCAGTTGGTATTTCTCCAGAACTAAACTCGCCTTTGCCTAATTCACCCGAGTTGTCCTCCTCCCATAAGGAACCATCTCCTCCTTTACAAGTTGATACTTGACGATCTAAGCCATCAACACTTGTGACTCCATTCGTTACCTTGCCACCTACAGATCCTACATCTATCATCTATCCTGGTCCCGAGTCATTGCCCATTGCTCTTTGTAAAGGTAAACGTAATTGTATAACTAAACATCTTCTTAGTCACTATGTCAAATTTTGAATCGTTGTTACCTTCGTTTTCCTATTTCACATCCCACGTTTCTAGTGTTTTTGTTACTAAGACAGTGATAGAAGCTTTATCTGATCTTGGGTTGCGATAGGCTAAGGAACTGGAAGTGGAAGCTTGCTCAAGAATAGGACTTGGGATCTCATTCCTTCACTACTTGGAATACATCCTGTTGGTAACGGATGGGTCTTTGTTCCGAAATTTAATCCTGTCTGGATGTTGATTGCTTGAAGGCCCGATTGGTTGCTAAAAATATACTCAGACCTATGATATTGATTATGATGAAACATTCTCTCCAGTTGTTAAGATCTCTTCTATTCATGTTTTGAAATATATTGCTGCCGAAGCAATCAGGGAGAGCACTAGAACTATGTTTGTAGATTAAAAAAGCTTTATATGGGCTAAAGCAATCATCGAGATCATGTTTTCGAATGTTTTCTGAGGTTGTTTTGGAATTTGGTCTTCAAGGCTGTCAGACAGATTATTTGGTATTTCATCTACATACTGATACAAGTTATATTATCCTTGTAATTTATGTAGATATTATAATCACTAACTACAAATAGGATTTCTAAAAAAACGTTTTCAAACTAAAGATCTAGGCAAGCTCTGATATTTCTTGGGCATTGAAGTTGCTAGGTTACGGGCTGGCATTTACTTGTTATAGAGAAAATATGTACTTGACCTGTTAGATGAGAGTTTTTTTGTAACTTGTCCAGTTGATACTTCCATGGATTCTAATGTGAAATTTTTTAAGGATAAAGGAGAATTGTTTGGATAACCAAGAAAATATTATCGTTTGACTGAAAACTTGAATTATCTTTCCATCGCATGACCAGATATTCCTATGCAATTTGGGCGTCATTAGTCAATTCTTGAATGCTCCTCAGGTGTCTTATTGGGAAGCTGTGATGTGTATTCTTCAGTATTTGAAAAATGCTCTAGACCTTGGATTACTATATTATCAGAATAGAAGGGTATACAAATGCAGATTGGGTAGGATCTCCGTCAGATAGATGATCCACTACAGGTACTTTTCTCGATGGTAATCTTGTTTTATGGAAAAGTAAGAAACAAATTATAGTAGTAAGGTCAAGTGCAGAAACAGAATATAGGACGATGACTCATACTACTAATGAGTTGACATGGTTGCAGCACTTTCTTCAAGAAATCGGTCTCTCACCTTCTACCCCCATTCTAATGTTTTGTGATAATTAAGATGCTCTACATATTATGGCCCTGTATGAGCCCCATTTTTACCTCATTAAAATGAAAAATATGACTGTTATCCATCATATCAAGCCACCATTTTTGAATTTCTATCTCTTGTGTGGGACTTATAACGGCTCTATTTTTCATTCTCATTCTACAAATAATGTGGCTCAAACGGGCTCTATATCTAATCCAGTCTTCATGAAAGAACCAAGTACATTGAAGTTGATTGTCACTTTGTTCGAGACAAAATGATGAATGACGATATATATACACCATTTATGAAGACAGGAGATTAACTTATTGATATGTTTACAAAGTCGGTGAACGGAAATTGATTGAGGTTTCTTTGTTCCAAATTGGGTTTATATGATATACATGTTCTAGTTTGAGGGGGAGTGTTGAGGAAATAAATATATTAGAATAACATAGATTAGGGGAGAGTATAATTGGGTTTATTTTGTTTCCATATTTATATCTATTTCCATATGTGTATTTTTTATTTCACTATATAATGAAAGTGAAGGAGATGAAGATACATCTATCTTATTCTCTCCCTTGTTTATACCAACCTTTGTCTCAACATTATTTTTATAATTGGGGATGTTATAATTAACAGCTGCCAGATGGAAGGGTCATTAAAGTTGGCACAGAGCGGTTTCAAGCACCTGAAGCTCTTTTTACTCCGGTAAGAATATACCTGCCATTTACCATATATATACCTTGTAAGGTCAAAGCATGTTTTTGTTAAATGTTGAAATTGGGTTATATGTCCTGTCTACTATTTCTTTATGTGATATTTTGGATAAATGTGGCCATATCATACCACTGATTCTTGTGGTTTAATATATTTGCTGCATTGCTCAGTACAGTAATGTGTGTCCGATATTGCCTTTTTTAAAGCTGCAAATTGGTGGCATGAGTAATTAAGACAAAAGCTTAACATGTTTAGTATTTTGCTGCCTTGCTTAGGACAGTAAGGTGTGTAATTTAATATTGCCTCTTTAAAACTGCGAATTGGTGGTATGAGTAATTAAGAGTTAAGACTAAAGCTTAAGTTCATGAAAAATAGATGGCAGATTCCGATCATGTTCTCCAATTATAGCTGACCTGTAATATATATTTTTTAATTGTGATTAGCTCCATGGCATCAATGTATTCAAGTATTGGTTTACACTGCCGTAAAACCTTTATCATGGATTAAAAATAAACTCTAGATGGTATATTTTTTATAGGAACTCATAGACGTTGAAGGAGATGGGATGGCTGACATGGTATTTCGTTGCATTCAGGAAATGGATATCGACAATCGAATGATGGTATTAAATTTTTTTTAACTGAAACATCTAATATATTGCGTTGTTTAATTTCTCATGCAATATTGATCCCTTGTCTTGCAGCTCTACCAACATATCGTTTTGAGTGGAGGAAGCACGATGTATCCTGGATTACCTAGTCGGTAAACCATGAAATTCCTCTTTACTTCATATAAAGCTACATCTTTTTGTCTGTGTTCTGTAATTATGATCCCAATCCTTAAATATTTCTCATGTACCTCTTTTTATTTTCTTGACCAAAGAACCTATATTTAATGGACCACGTATCTGTCTTGGGATGAATTATTAAGTCATGTGTGTGTGTGTGTGTGCGTGCGTGCGCGCACGCCATGTATAATTCCAGTGATTTGAGGGGTGACTAGTTATAAATAAGCTATGATCTGCATAAAGTCTAGGAGTGTGATCTGCCAATGACCATTTCGGATAAAATTTTATTTATGTTAGTAAAAATTTGTTCCTGAAATGCATAATATATTTTTGGATAACTAAATGATGTTTTAGCTATTTTATTTACTTTGTTATATAGTATAGCTAATTCATGGGGCACCACATATCGGTTGGCATGAGAATTCTCTTGGCTTTGTGATTCTAATGCTTGCTGAGCTCTGTATATTGTCATGGGCATGTCAAGTAGATAACTCATGTTTTTGCATCTGTGAAACTTTTCCTTTTCTTCAGCCTAGAGAAAGAAATTTTGGATCGCTATCTTGAAGTTGTTTTGAAGGGAAACAGAGATGGGTTGAAGGTAAATTTACCTCAACTTCATTATTTATATGCACCTTGAAAATTTGGACCTCTATCCTGTGGGCATCTTCTATTTGCAATCTCCTCATTCTTTTATCTTCCTCTTTTCACCAAGTGAATGAAGTCTTCTTTTGTCGTTCCTAAAACAGAAACTACGTCTGAGGATAGAGGATCCACCACGAAGAAAGCATATGGTGTATCTTGGAGGTGCAGTTCTTGCAGGAATCATGAAGGTTGGGTTCATGCTCTCTCTCAACTCTCCCTTCCCTGACACAACATCATTCATGTGTGCACAACGCTTAAAACTGTTTCTTTTAACAAGTTAACATCGGTTTCTTAGTACTCAAATAAGGTCCACAATGATCTTCTTGGCGCTTTTTGAAGATGGACATATGTAGCAATATCTACTGCATGGAAATAATTTTTGTTTCCTAAGTGTTTGGATGTTAAACTTTTTTAAGCGCAGTCAAACATACTAATAGTTTCCTACTCACGTGATTGTAAAAATCGAGATCATTTAACAATATTGCAGGATGCACCTGAATTCTGGATTAGCAGGCAAGATTATTTGGAAGAGGGAGTTGCTTGTTTAAGCAAATGTGGCCAGGCGTAAACTTTATCATTTGTTAGATTTTATCGCCACTTCATTTCCTCCCTAACAAAAGCATAAGAAGATGAACAACTCCATGTATCATTGACAGAAGTTGAGTTGCCATTGAAGAGTAGCTAGGTAATGAGCCAGTGAAATGAACGAGGAAGCATTTGCAGTGATGTAGCTTGTAATTGATGTATTTTTTTATATTAATTGAAAATGAAAGGTTTTTTTCCTTTTTTTTTTTTTTCCTCATTGGAGTAATATTTAGTTTTACCGTTGTTTATTCGACAGTAAAATAGAGCTTGTGATCCATATCATATGCTACGTGTGACACGTGTAACAGTTCAAACACTTATTAATGTTTTTACAAGTATATGCATTCCATTATCAAACTCAAATAAATGCACAACTTCACCTTTGATTTTATTTCTTTAATGTTTATCATGTCATGTTAAATTACATGAATACCAAACTGTACATTGTATGTCTCCCTCCATGGGCTTACCACATCATCATCACATAATGGACGTTTTTGTTTCATATAGTGTCTCATTACACCAAGCATGACAATCGACTCTTTCGATACTAAATGTACACTATTCCACATAACGTGATGTTCATAGAATGTGTAACATTTCAAACAAGCGTCATACTATGCTATATTACAACTACTGGATGCCCAAAACAAGCGATCCATTTCAAACGACAACGATGTAGTGATCTCCTATAAACCTATATGTATTGATTTGTACTACAATATGGAATAATATGCAACGTATCATCAGATGTATACCTCAATCACCACTCCAATTACTTAAACCTGTTCTGTGTTGTAGTGCATTGTAGTACATGCTTTATTTTGTTGATTATCCTATTTTATGTCTTATATGCACTTTATTTTTCAAATTCGACAAATCAAAGATTTGGAAAAAAAAAGAAAAAGAAAAAGGGAAGTCACCTCACTTTTTTGTTTTCTGGCATGGTTACTGGAAGCATGCAGTGTGTCAAAATTTTGCTGAGAATGTCTTGCAGCGAGATAAAGTATCAGTGCACCGTGCACTATGTACAACTAATGAATAGACATTACCCGATGGTTTACATTTTAGTTCAATATCTAAAGTTCTATAGTGATAAGTGATCGATTAATGCTTGGTGTACAAAAAAATTTTTACAAAAAAAATACAGATGTCTCACAATGGCATGGGCCCCGGATGATTAAATAATGTCAAAAAATTATTCACCCACCCTCCAAATGTGAGGTGTCGGTAGGGGTTATGTGAACCCTTACCTGTACACCAATCACGGCTCTCGGTGATCACCCTCAATTCGAGTACTGTAAACAAACAAAAAAAATTAAAAAAATAAAGCTATTAAATGAATAAGTTACTGTTCCTCTTATATGATATCTTGAATTCTTCATATATCTCTATAAAGCCATTATATGATATTTTTTTCCCCAACAGGTGTTGGAAATCTACTTATACATGCACGGCGGAATTTAAAATAATTTTCGATTCCCACCAATAATCGCCTTTATGTTTAGATAGAAATTGTGATAAGATTGTACCTTTTCCAGATCTGCAATCCTTTTGCTTTTCTTTTCGTTCCACAACTTTGATTCGCCACCACAGCTGTCCAATTGTCCAGCCTCCAACGGTGATCCACACAGAGAATATGATTGCAGCCTCTAGGATTTTCTCTTGTGCTAGCAAGAATAATGAAAACCTTAATGGACCTCAAACCCTAGTTATGTATTTATATAAACTCAAACAGGCTCGGCTCGGCCCGGTCCGGTCCAATAATTAATTAATCCAATTAATTAAACCCGGTCCGTGAATTAATTAATCCAATTAATTAATTCGAAAATATAAATAACAAATCCAATTAATTAATTTATCCAACGATTGTTAAATTAACCAATTGGAAATTTTGCAATCTTCCAATTCTCTTTTGTGTGTGACCCATTAGGTTCCCGACCTCGATGCCTAACGACGTGAAATATTATTTTGATCTAATCAAAATTGATAAATTAAAACACCCTTTTAATTTATAGCCAATTCACATTCGCCGTCCCTAATTGACATCTAGCAATGTATCAGGGCAATACATGTGACGGGAAATGTCACGTGGTATGACAAAACCAAATTCGTTCGTTTACCGTGAAACTATAATCCCTTCGTCAATATGATCCGATCAATTGAGATATGGAGTTGTGTCAATCTCGATCATCGACGGGACTAGTCATTGATTCTGGTGATGGGGTCACTCACGTGGTAAAATTTTTAATATAACATATCTATTCTGTGTTTTAGGGTATGTTGCTACTTTGTTACTTTTATCACATTCCTGGAATACATATATATCTTGTTTATTTGCTTAAATGTTCTGGAAAATAATAAAGACACTCAAACTTGACAACTGAATGCGAAATACGAATATGAGGCAATTTTGCAAAGTGTGATTATAATGTCATTGTTGTGTGTGTGTGTAAAGCATTCATTGGTTTTGTGAAATGAAAACTAGTGTTCAGTTTCTTCATGTATCCATTAAGGGAATGTTTCTATGTAATCTAGCATTGATATATAATTCAAAGTTAATATAAAAAAAGCATATAAATCAGTCTCAAAATATAATTTTAGTCTCTCACTAATCAGTGTACTGGAAAAATAATAAGTGTGATGCAATATCTTTCACATTGATATGATGACACCTAAACTAATCCACAAGCGATAAAGGGTAGTGCAGATCTATAATGTTGGTTTGGTATCATTGGTGTTAGCAAATTTTCATCATTTGATTTAAGTGGTTAGTTAAGTCTCTAACCCAGAAAAGTTGATTAATTTTGGAGTAGGATTAGTGATTGTAACTCTGTGGTTTCTCCAGGTTCCAGTAGTCGATGGATACTCATTTCCTCATCTTACTAAAAGAATGAATGTAGCTGGACGCCACATAACATCATATCTTGTTGATTTGCTTCTTAGAAGGGGGTGAGTATTCTTAGAATTCAAAAATCAGTAAACTGCAGTATCCTTGTTGGTTGTCAAATGATTCTTCGAAATTAATGGATACCACTTTGTCTCTGAAGGTACGCGATGAATAGAACTGCTGACTTTGAGACTGTTAGGGATATCAAAGAGAAGCTCTGCTACATAAGGTGAATTGGTCTTCATATTTTCGTGGGCTTGTAACTTAACATAAATGTTTTAATGAATTGTCTAGTTTGCTGCAGTTATGATTACAAAAGAGAATATCAACTGGGACTTGAGACTACTATCCTCGTAAAGAATTACACAGTAAGTTATCGTTGCTCCGATGACCCAAGAAATTTGAAATTACGAAGTTTAAGAATCCTTTGTCTTTATGCATATCCATACACTCATTTGACATGCATCTTATTTCATATTTGAATAGCGATAAATTTCTTAGAATTTTACTGAAGTAGTGTTGATCAAGAAAGACCGTTTCGAATTTGATATCATAATCTTAGTAGTTTTCATTTCTACTCAACTTTTCTATGAGCACGTTACCCAATAATTTCATGATGTGTTTGATTGTGTTTTTTAATGAAATAAATATATTAGAATAACATGGATTAGAGGAGAGTATAATTGGGTTTATTTTATTACCATATTTGTATCTATTTCCATACATGTACTTTTGATTTCACTATATAATGAAAGTGAAGGAGACGAAGGTATCTATCTTATTCCCTCTCGTGTTTATATCAATCTGTCTCAACATGGTATTAGAGCAAGGTTCCTAGGGTTTGAGTCTGCATCTCTGTCTTCTCTACATCTACCGTTTGACCAAATTTGAAGCATGCATCTTCGTCGCTATGTCTACATCTGCATCACCTGTTTCACATTTGCTGCCGGGTTTGGAGTGTGTCGTGTCTTCGTCTATTATCTGGTATTTCTTGTGTGGGATGTGGTTCTGTGGTGATTTCCCCATTAGCAGTAAGTGAAGTCGGAAGCTGAGAAAATTCGTCGTGGCTGTTGCGACAAGGAGGGAGAGAAAACAAATCTGGGTTGAGGTTTGATTTGGGCCAATTTTTTTTATTTCAACCACTATTGGGCCATTATTTTAAGCTGGTCACTTGGGCTTCCTTAATTCCTATTGGTTTTACTAATATAACATTTCTATTGAGATGGGTTTAATTGGCTTTATTGTTGATGTTGGTCCATGTGCTCATTTAATTTTGGGCTTGTTGATGTTGGTTTAATTCCTGTTGGTTTTATTGTTGGATTGGTTTGTAGATAGTATCACGTCAACCAAGATAGAAATGTTTAATCTGACGGGACCTATGACACCTAAAAAGTTGAATGAAAGAAATTACACTTACTGAACTAAGTGTGTCGAGGTCTTTTTGCAGGGTAAGGGTTTATTTTACCACTTGATTTTGGACAAGCCGTGGACCAAGTCCTCAAAAGGTGATTCTGCAAAAGTTGATTCTGCTCTCAGTGATTAATGGGATCAAGACGATAATACAATAATTGGACTTATGATCAGTAGCATTGAACCTCATATTAGGTTTTCATTCCTCTACGTGTCTACGGTGAAGCAAAATTATGAGCATCTCAAACATATACATTCTTGAATTTGAAATGTTATTCGAATTTATGAGGTGTAAACAATACTTTGGACTTGAGAAAGGCTCTTCCAACCTCATTGAATATTATAATAAGCTTTTCGCTATGTGTCGTGGGAAGAATGCCATCCTTGTGGTAGTGGATAGGCTGTCCAAGTATGCGATTTCATTGGAGTGAGCCATCCCTTTACAGCTAAGAAACTAGCAGAAGTATAAGTTGACAATGGGGCTCGCCTCCATTGTATTCCTCGCACCATTCTTAGTGACCTTGATGCTTTATTTACTAGTAATTTCTGGCAAGAATTCTTTAAGCTGCAAGGAACACAGCTCAAGATGTCTTCTACATATCACCCGAAAACTGACAGACAAACCGAAGTGGTGAACAGGAGCCTTTAGCAATACCTTCGCTGCTTGTCCAGTGAAGCAACAAAGCAGTGGAGTCGTGATCTTCCTTGGGCGGAATTTTGTTATAATACCACATTCCATCGTCATATCGGGCTCATCCCATTCCAAACTTTGTATGGGAGACCACCACCAATCATAACCAGATATTTACCGAGAAGCGTAGCAGTGCAAGAGGTAGAAAGAGAGTTATGCAATCGGGACGAGCTGCTCAAGCAACTAAAGCAGAATTTAGAAAGGGCCAGAAATTGAATGGAGCTACAATCAGTGTTCCATATATTGTGTCTCAACAATCAGTGTTTAAAAGAGCTAATCAGAAGCTTGCTAGCAAGTACTTTGGACCTTATCGAGTCTTAGAAAAGATAGGTGCAGTGGCGCCTACAAGTTGAAGTTGCCAGAAAACTCGAAAGTTCATCCTGTGTTCCATATATTGTGCCTCAAGAAGCATATAGGAGAAGGGGAAATTACACAAAGCATGGCCCTACCAGTTTCAGAGGAAGGATCTTTGGTGCTAGAACCCGTTGCTGTCAAATACTCCAGTTGGGTGAAGCAGGGGAGCAGATGGGGAGCGGAAGTATTAATCCAATGGAAGTACTTGCCTGAGGAAGAAGCTACTTGGGAATCTACTAGGCTGATGGAGTTCGACCTTAAGGGCAAGGTTGAAGTCCCAACGGCGGCAGACGTTAGACTCCAAAGAAACAGGAAGGCCAATCCAAAGTATTCGGTTGTGTTGACCGCAGAACAAAGAGGACCAATTCAGAGGGCGAATGGCAGGGGAACTGGAGCTAATTAAAGGATGTCCCCCACTAAGTGCTTGCATTTAACGCAGAGTGGAGTTATGTTTGAGTTTATTTAGGGAGTAATCGTTGGTTGAGTTTCTATAAATAGGTCTTTAGGCAGTAGAGTAGGGTAGCTTTTGAATTAATTGTAATTGTGGTTTGCTCCAGCCCTAATTGGAAAATTTCTATTGCAACTCGGTACTTTCTTCTTGAGTTATTGCAGAGTCGTTTTCAACAAGTTCACACCTTATTTCTCTAATTATAAATGTCTTCTGACTCGAATCAAGATCCCGTTCGCTTACCTGTCCCTTATCTACCAGTTGGTATTTCTCCAGAACTAAACTCGCCTTTGCCTAATTCACCCGAGTTGTCCTCCTCCCATAAGGAACCATCTCCTCCTTTACAAGTTGATACTTGACGATCTAAGCCATCAACACTTGTGACTCCATTCGTTACCTTGCCACCTACAGATCCTACATCTATCATCTATCCTGGTCCCGAGTCATTGCCCATTGCTCTTTGTAAAGGTAAACGTAATTGTATAACTAAACATCTTCTTAGTCACTATGTCAAATTTTGAATCGTTGTTACCTTCGTTTTCCTATTTCACATCCCACGTTTCTAGTGTTTTTGTTACTAAGACAGTGATAGAAGCTTTATCTGATCTTGGGTTGCGATAGGCTAAGGAACTGGAAGTGGAAGCTTGCTCAAGAATAGGACTTGGGATCTCATTCCTTCACTACTTGGAATACATCCTGTTGGTAACGGATGGGTCTTTGTTCCGAAATTTAATCCTGTCTGGATGTTGATTGCTTGAAGGCCCGATTGGTTGCTAAAAATATACTCAGACCTATGATATTGATTATGATGAAACATTCTCTCCAGTTGTTAAGATCTCTTCTATTCATGTTTTGAAATATATTGCTGCCGAAGCAATCAGGGAGAGCACTAGAACTATGTTTGTAGATTAAAAAAGCTTTATATGGGCTAAAGCAATCATCGAGATCATGTTTTCGAATGTTTTCTGAGGTTGTTTTGGAATTTGGTCTTCAAGGCTGTCAGACAGATTATTTGGTATTTCATCTACATACTGATACAAGTTATATTATCCTTGTAATTTATGTAGATATTATAATCACTAACTACAAATAGGATTTCTAAAAAAACGTTTTCAAACTAAAGATCTAGGCAAGCTCTGATATTTCTTGGGCATTGAAGTTGCTAGGTTACGGGCTGGCATTTACTTGTTATAGAGAAAATATGTACTTGACCTGTTAGATGAGAGTTTTTTTGTAACTTGTCCAGTTGATACTTCCATGGATTCTAATGTGAAATTTTTTAAGGATAAAGGAGAATTGTTTGGATAACCAAGAAAATATTATCGTTTGACTGAAAACTTGAATTATCTTTCCATCGCATGACCAGATATTCCTATGCAATTTGGGCGTCATTAGTCAATTCTTGAATGCTCCTCAGGTGTCTTATTGGGAAGCTGTGATGTGTATTCTTCAGTATTTGAAAAATGCTCTAGACCTTGGATTACTATATTATCAGAATAGAAGGGTATACAAATGCAGATTGGGTAGGATCTCCGTCAGATAGATGATCCACTACAGGTACTTTTCTCGATGGTAATCTTGTTTTATGGAAAAGTAAGAAACAAATTATAGTAGTAAGGTCAAGTGCAGAAACAGAATATAGGACGATGACTCATACTACTAATGAGTTGACATGGTTGCAGCACTTTCTTCAAGAAATCGGTCTCTCACCTTCTACCCCCATTCTAATGTTTTGTGATAATTAAGATGCTCTACATATTATGGCCCTGTATGAGCCCCATTTTTACCTCATTAAAATGAAAAATATGACTGTTATCCATCATATCAAGCCACCATTTTTGAATTTCTATCTCTTGTGTGGGACTTATAACGGCTCTATTTTTCATTCTCATTCTACAAATAATGTGGCTCAAACGGGCTCTATATCTAATCCAGTCTTCATGAAAGAACCAAGTACATTGAAGTTGATTGTCACTTTGTTCGAGACAAAATGATGAATGACGATATATATACACCATTTATGAAGACAGGAGATTAACTTATTGATATGTTTACAAAGTCGGTGAACGGAAATTGATTGAGGTTTCTTTGTTCCAAATTGGGTTTATATGATATACATGTTCTAGTTTGAGGGGGAGTGTTGAGGAAATAAATATATTAGAATAACATAGATTAGGGGAGAGTATAATTGGGTTTATTTTGTTTCCATATTTATATCTATTTCCATATGTGTATTTTTTATTTCACTATATAATGAAAGTGAAGGAGATGAAGATACATCTATCTTATTCTCTCCCTTGTTTATACCAACCTTTGTCTCAACATTATTTTTATAATTGGGGATGTTATAATTAACAGCTGCCAGATGGAAGGGTCATTAAAGTTGGCACAGAGCGGTTTCAAGCACCTGAAGCTCTTTTTACTCCGGTAAGAATATACCTGCCATTTACCATATATATACCTTGTAAGGTCAAAGCATGTTTTTGTTAAATGTTGAAATTGGGTTATATGTCCTGTCTACTATTTCTTTATGTGATATTTTGGATAAATGTGGCCATATCATACCACTGATTCTTGTGGTTTAATATATTTGCTGCATTGCTCAGTACAGTAATGTGTGTCCGATATTGCCTTTTTTAAAGCTGCAAATTGGTGGCATGAGTAATTAAGACAAAAGCTTAACATGTTTAGTATTTTGCTGCCTTGCTTAGGACAGTAAGGTGTGTAATTTAATATTGCCTCTTTAAAACTGCGAATTGGTGGTATGAGTAATTAAGAGTTAAGACTAAAGCTTAAGTTCATGAAAAATAGATGGCAGATTCCGATCATGTTCTCCAATTATAGCTGACCTGTAATATATATTTTTTAATTGTGATTAGCTCCATGGCATCAATGTATTCAAGTATTGGTTTACACTGCCGTAAAACCTTTATCATGGATTAAAAATAAACTCTAGATGGTATATTTTTTATAGGAACTCATAGACGTTGAAGGAGATGGGATGGCTGACATGGTATTTCGTTGCATTCAGGAAATGGATATCGACAATCGAATGATGGTATTAAATTTTTTTTAACTGAAACATCTAATATATTGCGTTGTTTAATTTCTCATGCAATATTGATCCCTTGTCTTGCAGCTCTACCAACATATCGTTTTGAGTGGAGGAAGCACGATGTATCCTGGATTACCTAGTCGGTAAACCATGAAATTCCTCTTTACTTCATATAAAGCTACATCTTTTTGTCTGTGTTCTGTAATTATGATCCCAATCCTTAAATATTTCTCATGTACCTCTTTTTATTTTCTTGACCAAAGAACCTATATTTAATGGACCACGTATCTGTCTTGGGATGAATTATTAAGTCATGTGTGTGTGTGTGTGTGCGTGCGTGCGCGCACGCCATGTATAATTCCAGTGATTTGAGGGGTGACTAGTTATAAATAAGCTATGATCTGCATAAAGTCTAGGAGTGTGATCTGCCAATGACCATTTCGGATAAAATTTTATTTATGTTAGTAAAAATTTGTTCCTGAAATGCATAATATATTTTTGGATAACTAAATGATGTTTTAGCTATTTTATTTACTTTGTTATATAGTATAGCTAATTCATGGGGCACCACATATCGGTTGGCATGAGAATTCTCTTGGCTTTGTGATTCTAATGCTTGCTGAGCTCTGTATATTGTCATGGGCATGTCAAGTAGATAACTCATGTTTTTGCATCTGTGAAACTTTTCCTTTTCTTCAGCCTAGAGAAAGAAATTTTGGATCGCTATCTTGAAGTTGTTTTGAAGGGAAACAGAGATGGGTTGAAGGTAAATTTACCTCAACTTCATTATTTATATGCACCTTGAAAATTTGGACCTCTATCCTGTGGGCATCTTCTATTTGCAATCTCCTCATTCTTTTATCTTCCTCTTTTCACCAAGTGAATGAAGTCTTCTTTTGTCGTTCCTAAAACAGAAACTACGTCTGAGGATAGAGGATCCACCACGAAGAAAGCATATGGTGTATCTTGGAGGTGCAGTTCTTGCAGGAATCATGAAGGTTGGGTTCATGCTCTTTCTCAACTCTCCCTTCCCTGACACAACATCATTCATGTGTGCACAACGCTTAAAACTGTTTCTTTTAACAAGTTAACATCGGTTTCTTAGTACTCAAATAAAGTCCACAATGATCTTCTTGGCGCTTTTTGAAGATGGACATATGTAGCAATATCTACTGCATGGAAATAATTTTTGTTTCCTAAGTGTTTGGATGTTAAACTTTTTTAAGCGCAGTCAAACATACTAATAGTTTCCTACTCACGTGATTGTAAAAATCGAGATCATTTAACAATATTGCAGGATGCACCTGAATTCTGGATTAGCAGGCAAGATTATTTGGAAGAGGGAGTTGCTTGTTTAAGCAAATGTGGCCAGGCGTAAACTTTATCATTTGTTAGATTTTATCGCCACTTCATTTCCTCCCTAACAAAAGCATAAGAAGATGAACAACTCCATGTATCATTGACAGAAGTTGAGTTGCCATTGAAGAGTAGCTAGGTAATGAGCCAGTGAAATGAACGAGGAAGCATTTGCAGTGATGTAGCTTGTAATTGATGTATTTTTTTATATTAATTGAAAATGAAAGGTTTTTTTCCTTTTTTTTTTTTCCTCATTGGAGTAATATTTAGTTTTACCGTTGTTTATTCGACAGTAAAATAGAGCTTGTGATCCATATCATATGCTACGTGTGACACGTGTAACAGTTCAAACACTTATTAATGTTTTTTCAAGTATATGCATTCCATTATCAAACTCAAATAAATGCACAACTTCACCTTTGATTTTATTTCTTTAATGATTATCATGTCATGTTAAATTACATGAATACCAAACTGTACATTGTATGTCTCCCTCCATGGGCTTACCACATCATCATCACATAATGGACGTTTTTGTTTCATATAGTGTCTCGTTACACCAAGCATGACAATCGACTCTTTCGATACTAAATGTACACTATTCTACATAACGTGATGTTCATAGAATGTGTAACATTTCAAACAAGCGTCATACTATGCTATATTACAACTACTGGATGTCCAATACAAGCGATCCATTTCAAACGACAATGATGTAGTGATCTCCTATAAACTTATATGTATTGATTTGTACTACAATATGGAATAATATGCAACGTATCATCAGATGTATACCTCAATCACCACTCCAATTACTTAAACCTGTTCTGTGTTGTAGTGCATTGTAGTACATGCTTTATTTTGTTGATTATCCTATTTTATGTCTTATATGCACTTTATTTTTCAAATTCGACAAATCAAAGATTTGAAAAAAAAAGAAAAAGAAAAAGGGAAGTCACCTCACTTTTCTGTTTTCTGGCATGGTTACTGGAAGCATGCAGTGTGTCAAAATTTTGCTGAGAATGTCTTGCAGCGAGATAAAGTATCAGTGCACCGTGCACTATGTACAACTAATGAATAGACATTACCCGATGGTTTACATTTTAGTTCAATATCTAAAGTTCTATAGTGATAAGTGATCGATTAATGCTTGGTGTACAAAAAAAATTTTTACAAAAGAAATACAGATGTCTCACAATGGCATGGGCCCCGGATGATTAAATAATGTCAAAAAATTATTCACCCACCCTCCAAATGTGAGGTGTCGGTAGGGGTTATGTGAACTCTTACCTGTACACCAATCACGGCTCTCGGTGATCACCCTCAATTCGAGTACTGTAAACAAACAAAAAAAATTAAAAAATTAAAGCTATTAAATGAATAAGTTACTGTTCCTCTTATATGATATCTTGAATTCTTCATATATCTCTATAAAGCCATTATATGATATTTTTTTCCCCAACAGGTGTTGGGAATCTACTTATACATGCACGGCGGAATTTAAAATAATTTTCGATTCCCACCAATAATCGCCTTTATGTTTAGATAGAAATTGT